CATCGAAAGTAGGTGCTAAATTGAACAAGAAGTCCCTTTGTTATGTTGAACAGCGTCCACAGTACAATCGGTTTTCTAAACACAGGGTGGGCCATCACTCGGGACAATATTTTGCGCAGAACTTTTGTTGTTACAGTCGATTGGCTTGTCTTCAAACCACTCTGCGGGCTGACTGTAATATGAGCACAGGTCACTTTCATTTAGATATCTTTTAACGGCGTCGAACATTTTTCGGCGGCCATTTTTTTCAGCTTGGAACTCCTTCCGTGATATATTAGTGTTATTAAAACACCGACAAAAAAGCTATAGCGTAATGTTTGTCTGTGCTTCGATCGCGTACACTACGCTACTTATGGATTACACAGGATATAATAAAGTCAGATGGTCAAAAAATCAGTATGCAAATTAAATCCTTCATGAAGGACGCGTTCACCCACAACTAGATTTCCGGGAATAAACTGAAATTACGCAACAAAAGCATCGTAAATTTGGACCAAAGTTTAAAAAATTATACAATATAATGTTTCATAATTCGAATTTTTTGAAAAATGTTTTTTTTTTTTTAATTTTTGTTTCTCGCTACCTTAAATAATTTTAGTGATATGATAAAATAGTTTCGGCGAGTCTAATTTATTGGAACTACGACTGTATGGGATTCTAACAAATCTGGTTCAAAAGAAGAAAACAAAATTCAAACATGGATAATGTACACATATTTTTGAGGTAAAATATTCTACATAGATACTGTAGTTTGAATAAAAGTCGTGAAATCATGAACATGATTTTTAAGGTAAAACAATAGTAAGATTTTGTTTTCAGATGAGCGTCAGCGTGAGTGGGTCATGATACAAGAACAGAATCAATGCAATAAAAGTCTGCAAGTCATCCGATGTTTTACGTCAACAATATTTACGGAGCCGGGCAGAAAACCACTGGTTTGATTTTGATCCCCCTCCATAATATGACTTGCATACAATGTATTTTTTCAACAACAAACTTATTATCTTGGCCACTATGACAGGTAGATGTGTATAGTTCTAGCTCCCACCGTTTAGCTCATAATTTTTCAAATAAGTTTAAACTCCAGTTGATATATGAGGTTACCTGAGCTTTCAAAGAGCATTATATTGAGTCATTCTCAGACCATCAGTAATATCCCTACCAGCTTCGAAAAGATGAAAGCTAGAACAGTCGTATGTAGTTTTAGTATATATATATATATATATATATATATATATATATATATATATATATATATATATATATATATATATATATATATATATATATAACACTGTTCGCATTTGCCTACATGTTCTGTAGTTAACCAGTTCAGATGATATTGACAAAATGGGAACAGACGTATCTTATTCAAAATTAGTAAATATGACGTATATTGCTATCATTGGTAGCCACCAATTCTTTATTTATAACAAAACAGACAA